TGGCTCTTCCCAGCTGACTGGAGCCAGCTCAGAGGGAGGTCCTGCCCTTCATTGCCACAAACCCAGGTTGCTTTCTCAAGTTGCTTCCCTCTCAGACATGGTGGCTGGCAGCATTGCTCCAGATGATGGGGTTTGGTCTGCCTCTCATCAGACAACAGGATTCTGCTTTGGGAAGCAATTCTTGGATGCCACGTCCATTCCCCAATGACGAGGCATGAGGAAGCCTCTTCCGGGGGTGTCTGAGCTCCGTGGCAGGCAGCAATGTGCCTGTCTGGGCCCTTGAGAGGAGCCAGAAGGGCCAGGCTGGAGGATCTGTGCAGGGGCTGTCTCATAGCAGTGCTACCGTGAGGAAAGGAGGGGTCAGGGTTTTTCAGATGAGTGTTTGCTAAATGCAAATGCATGTGTGAAATGCAGATAAGTGAGTATTAAACCTGTCCCAGCAGTGAGTGCCTGGAGCGTGTTTGTTTTGCTGTGGCTGTTTTACTTGCTAACTGTTGAGCTCTGCTAATCCCAGAGGTAGCTGCTGTGGAGACAGTTTGCCCCTCTAACAAAGGGTGTTGGGGTTAATGGGAACCTCTTAGAGCTGCCAGGAAAGGAAATGTGTACTGAGGTTTGCTATTTTTGATCCTTTTCTTTCTTTGGTGATGGTCTGCTGGAGGAATATGCCTGTGGCCTTTGCAAGGGCTGTTCTCTTGCACTTTGTGCTTGGCTTTGGCTGTAAGATCATATAGCAAATACAGGGCTAAGCCCAGCCTGTCTGCCTCATGCTGGGGTGCTGTTGCCTGGTCATTCATCAGGTTTTGGGGCTGGCATTGGGTTTGCTTCTTCAGGAAGCTGATCACACGAAGGATGGGCTTGTGATGGGAGGTGAAGGCAGCCTGAGAGGCTGGGCGCCCCTGGGCCCTGACAGCCCGACCAAACTTGCAGCCAGGCCAGCTGTTCCTGAGCACGGCCCGAGCCCTCCCTGGTTACGGGGCCCAGTGAGGGCTCAGGAGCCAGGCTGCACCATGCTGCAGTGGCCATGTCAGCCTGCCCTCGTATGTCTGGAGCAGCGAGCTCGCCCTGCAAACTATTATTTATGTTTTCAAATACTGCTAACTCACAGATAATTAATGTCAGAAAGCCGCCTGGTGCCGTTGCTAATAGCTCAGCAAAAGGAGACACATTGGTCAATTAGCAGCTATTTGATCTGACAGTACCAGTAAAGGGCAGATCAAGCTGCCAGCCCCCTTGGCTAATATCATGAGGATTAGAGATTTGTCAAGACTCCACACAGGGTGCTAGTGGGGACCATCAGAGGAGGGAAGGAACCCTGCAGGTCATTGCTGCTTGTTTTCAGGCTGGATTGGGCACTGACTGCCTGGCCTGGGTGCAGAGATGTGCATGCTGGCCTCCCAGTCACCACCCTGCTGTCCTGATGTGGGAATGTGACAGAAGTATTGCGAATCAGACTGCAGTGACAGACTGCTCTTTCCTGGGAGGTAAGCTGTGTTCCCCTGGCGAAGCCCCTGTTATGACTTCTGCAATATCGGGGAAGTATTATATTAGAAAGAGACCTCTGAGCTAAGGAGATGTAATATCTGCATATGTAAAGGCCTCCAACTGTAGGCACAGCAATATTAGAGGATTTGTGTAGTTTAGCGCTAGTCTTTCTTCCTGGGGCTGACGTCGTAAAATGAGACACCACGACTCACTTGGAAACAAAAATACATGGAGGATGTGAGTAGATCTGTTGTATCCCATCCCCAGAGGGGTCTTCAGCTACATGACTTGCAGCTTGTTGCTGCACTGCTGAGACTTGGCCCTTTCTCATGCACATCTGTTAGCTCAGGGTGCAGCAGGGCCAGGGGCGTTTCCTGGTTTCTTTTTAGCAGCTGTGCTGTTCCCCCTTGTTAGTTCTCAGGGCTCTCCTGGAAGAGTCCTCCTAGAGGACTGTTCCGTGCTGCCTAGGAAGAGGTACTATTTGGAGTCGTTGTTCTATGCAGGACTTTGGTTCCCTGCTACTGTCCTCAGTCCAACAGCAAAGGATGCCTGAGAGATCTCGTAAGGCAGCTGGCTGCCCCACAGAGGCAGCTCTGTCCTTCGGCAGCACTGTGCATTTCTGTGGCTATGGTACTTTTTTAACCATTGTCTGAGGGATGTTTGTGTCAGTTGCAGGGATTACTTTTGCTTCCCCGTAGTAGGATACTCTGATTACAGCTGGTCTTCAGGAAATTGATGCTTTAATATTCAGACTTGTCAGTTGAGGGCTAAATTTTATTCCTAGAATAACATTTAATTAAGCATGCTTGCTTGCTGTCTGTGATGCACCAGTGATCTGCACAGATGCACTTACCTTCATTAGCTCTTTTAAAACCAGCTGGAACTGAAGTTAGAGTAAACTGTAAAATTTATGGGCTGCTCCCTCCCTTTTTTAATTAGCACCGTAAGTGTGTAACAAGAGGCCTCAGGCCAGGGGAAGGAGCCATTTACTTGTTTACTGGTACCTGCCTTGCTCTGCAGCCTTGTCCAGCAGCATCCCCCCTAGATGGAGCTCTGCAAAAACATTTGGAAGCAAGCAGGCAGGAGGCTCGTTGCCCCGCACCCACCCGTTCCGGCCATCCCAAAAACCTCGGGTCTGCCCGGGGGGTGCGGGCAGGAGCGGGGCAGCCTCCGTGGGGACCCGGCAGCTGCTCAGCACCTGGGCTGCCTGCTGGAGCCTGGGTGCCCCCGACCTGCTCTCATCCCTGCTCTGTACCCCGGGCTTGCAGGAAGAGCAGGTGGATGGATCAGATTTGTTTTTTTCAGGGACAGGTCCTCGACACTGGGATCCCCTTCGTCCTCTCTGTGTGTCCTCCAGCACACTGGTCTCTTCCTGGCACGAAGGATTGCGCTAATGTGCTGATGGCATCGGGATAAAAAATGGTATTTGTTGTTGTCTAGTGCTGCCTTTGTGCCATGATTGTCTCTCCTGCCCTCACAGCTTTGCTAGCCCCTTGCCTTCCCCTGTGGATTCTGCATAGTCTCACTTATCCTGTACTGCCAGCTAATGGATTGCTGATCACTAAATAGATGGAAACCGAGCTCCAGTGCAGAATCTGGCATTTCTGGTTCCAGACCAGAGTGGACTGTTCTGCTTCTCCAAGCTGACTTCCTGCCAAAGACCTGCCCCAATAGGAGGGGGAATAGGAAACAGCTGTCCAGGAAGGTCTGCGCGAGAATGAGCTAGAAGGAAAAGTGTAGCTGGCTCTTCAGGTTCACCCTAGATATTCAAAAGCCCAGCAGTTGTAAGAGGCAGTCAATTGAGCAGAGTGGTGGGGATGTCCCTCCTGATGATTTGTTTTTCAGCCAGAAAATCTTAGACTTTAATTAGCAAAAATGTGTAAATGACTCGTGGAAAAAAAGCCTGTATCATTGCATGAAGTGGTGATGAAGAGAGATGGACATTGAGCTTCAGCACAGCTGATAAGGCAGTGGAAGAAAGCAGGAGAAAAGAATCACAGAATTTCTAGGTTGGAAGAGACCTCAAGATCATCGAGTCCAACCTCTAACCTAACTCTAACAGTCCCCACTAAACCATATCCCTAAGCTCTACATCTAAACGTCTTTTGAAGACTTCCAGGGATGGTGACTCCACCACCTCCCTGGGCAGCCTGTTCCAATGCCTCACAACCCTTTCAGTAAAGAAATTCTTCCTAACATCCAACCTAAAACTCCCCTGGCATAAGCTGAGTAAAAATGAGAGATACAGAGGTTCAGGGCCGAGGCAGTGTGTTTGTATTCTGTAGAGGAAATACATGTTGCATCAACACAACCATTACTGCTTGTGCAGATGGCTAGACATTACAAAAGGCCTGGGTAGTTTTCAGACAATTTGGCGTTAATGTATACGAGAGCAGCTGGAGTCTGGAAGCAGGGAGTGGTGCTATGGGAAGGGCTGATGTACCTGAGATGCTTCCCAGAGAGTGCAGCAGGAAAGGTGCTTGGTATTTATGCTTAGCTCAGAAGGAAAATAAACGAGTTGTTTCTCTCTCTTCTGGTACCTCTTTGGAGATTTCAGCTAACCATGCTGGAGACTAGCAGTATGAATCTCTGACAGATAGAGCTGCATGAAGTTTCATTGTTATCATTTGCAGCACATGAGGACCGGCACAAGCAACTTCTTTCATGAGTATTGTGCTGCATCATGACCACATGAGGTGGCTGGCACATCTTTCCACCTAACGCTCGATTCTTGCCAGCACTATTACTCCTTTGCATTCACAAGCACTAAATTCACTCACAAATTTTATATATATATAAAATACATATTGTCATAAAATCAGCTAGCTAAGCATTCCCCAATGAAAATGAAATGCTGCTTCTCCTCAGAAGTGTTTGTTCAGGATCATTTGTCTATTAAATACTTGGTGAAGTCTGCAGCTCTAACATCATCCTCAGTGCTCAGCCTTTCCAGTCCCTGGATACAGCCTCCTTCCTGCACCTATGAAGACAAAGCTTCCTGTACTCAGGTGTCTGCCCCAGCAGTTATTGATTGGCCTTTGCTGGGCAGTTTGAATTTGTGCTGGTGGATGTGTCTGGCTTCTCGGAGCAGTGATACGTCATTTCATCAAGTGGGAGTCTGCAGAGCTGGCCTGATGTGGGGCAGAGCAGCAGGGTTCTTCTTGTCCATTTGGATATGGACTAGGAGTTTGCAAGGCAGGGGTCCCATCAGCGACACTGTCATCTCAGCTGTGGTTCATCTTGTAATGATACTACTCATAGAAAGCCTGGATCTCCCATGCCTGAGCTTGGGGGCTCCAGAGCATTTACAAACCCTAGAAAAATTGCTGTGAATTCTGCTGTCTTGACAGATTATCAGCAAGATGTTGGATCAGCTGCTGACACCCAGGGAAGTGGTAGAGGTAGGTACAGTGCTCAGAGACTCTCTGGAGGGCTGAAGTTAATGCTTTTGACTCAGACCGCAGGAGTAAAGTGTTCTGTCTCAAAGCAGGGACTGAGGGCAAGAGAGCTGTGTCTGGCCTGTTTAAAAGGCAGGTGCAGGAACACAGGTGTCACTTCAGATGGGCTGTTGCTGCTGTGCTCTCACAGGATGTGGCTGTTCCTTCTTTACCTTCCCTCACTGTAAGCTCCTGGCTCTGTGGGGTAAGTTTGGTCTCCCTACCCTGTGTACCCCTACTCTAACAGGGCACATGGCTTTGCTTATTATCCCTGTGCCTTTTCCATTGTGAGTGAGCAGAGTCTGTTCTCGGGGAAGCTCAAAGCTGTGGTTGTTCCCAAGTCCTCTAAGAGGTGTCTGTGTGCAGCTTTTTCTCCTGGACCCTACTGCTGTGGAGGCAATGGTGCCCTGTACTATTCCCCTCCTTCATGCTGATATGTCTTCAGAGATAAATTGCTTTGATTTCTGCCTAAATTTATAATGAGTTTTCATATACAGCCGGGATGGGATCACTCAGAGAAGAAATTTTCACGGCGGGGAAATTTTGTTTGGCCAAGTTTCTGTAGCACGCTCATTTCTGATGCAGGGCTGGGAAGTGGGATATTGCCAGCACAGGCCGTGGGCACTACTGGGAGCCCAGGGTATGTGCTCCTGTCTATAAGCCCTGGGGTGTAGGTAACAATAAACAATTGCAGCAAAGGCATCTGCCCTTTGGTGTGGCCAGCTGCAGGCTGTTCTGATGATCCTCTGCACAGAGTTCTGTCTGTTAAATGGGAAAACATTTTTCTTCTGACATTCATTAAACAGTATAATTTCTTTGGCATGGCACAATGCCAACGACCTTCCCCATACCTACATTGCTCCTTCATTATTCTGTATTCAAGAAAGCAAACATAAACCTTGATGTTTGCTTTGGTTCCCATGGGATATGTGCAATGACAGCTGGAGGCTGGCAGGACCCTGGAGCACCAGCTGCTGGGCTCACAGCTCGTTGGGGAACATGCAAGTGTCTACTCTTGTTCCTCTGATTCACATTCCGTGGAGGTTGCTGGGCTTTGAAGGTCACTATGGCCTTCAGCCTTTGTCCTAGAGGTAGTAATGCTCCTTCTTTGGGGCTTGCTGCAGCAGTCAGGTCTGCTGTGTCCTGGGATGTCTGCTGGACTTGGGCTGCAGGGGACCCAGCCTGGCTCTGCCCAAACCTGTATGGCACATCCTGCTCCTGTGCTAGGAGGCATGGCAGTGACTGACATGTTGCTCCCTGCACACTCCTCCCCCTGGCAGCACCCCATGTACAGTATGCTGGTGTCCTGATGGCTCTGTGCATGACGCTGCTCTCACAAAGAGCACGGTGAACTGAAGCCCTGCCAGCAAGAAGGCTGCAGACCCAGCTTGCATGGATATCTACCTGTCTGAAGGTGCAGCCCCAACGGAAACCAGGAACCAATTGGGAGCTCGGGGGAGAGGTGGCTGTGTCATGGGAGTGCTTTGACAAAAGCTGCTGCTGCCTGAGCAAGCAGTGAGCACTAGCACAGCCGGGAACCTGGGCTGGCTGCAAACAGGATCTGGTACACAGCCCAGATCCCTGTAACAGCTTTCCCAGCACTCCCTCGTGGACAGTGCTGATTTTGATAGGCATATAACACAGTTTCAGGCGTATTATATTCCTAGAAAGAATGATGCTTTGAAAGATCCCCCCGAACCAAATCCAAACTGCGGAACAATCAACTCTTGTCAGCTTTAATGCTACTCACTGGTCTGTGACAGGGACAAAGGGGACAGAGCGTGCAGGTTCAGCTCTTGGCCTTTTTGGGGCACCAAGGCTGCTGTGCCAGCAGGTAGAAGAATGTTATAGCTGAGCCTGGAACATTTTGCAAAGGCATTTCTCTTGGCAGGTTTATGATATTTTCTGCCTCAGCTGGGAAGCCTGCAACACTGAATAAATCTCCAGGCCAACAAAAGCCCAGAATGTTTTCACAATTGCCAGGATTTTATTAATTTACAAGTACATTATTGAATTTCTTCTTTCTTAACAACAGCTTTCACTTAGACGAGAACTGCTTGAATGTGTTTGGTTGTGCATGGTAGGCAAAGCAAGTAAAACTCTGTGGGGAAGTCACCTGCAAAATATTTCATAGAATTGTTGAAGTTGGAAAAGACCTCGAAGATCATCTGGTCCGACTGTCCCTCTGCCACCAATATCACCCACTAAACCATGTCCCCAAGCACCATGTCCAACCCTTCCATAAACATCCCCAGGGATGGTGACTCCACCACCTCCCTGGGCAACCCGTCCCAATGCTTGGCTTCTCTTTCTGAGAAGAAATGTCTCCTAATTTCCAAGAAGAGGCTGACCCCCAGTTCCCCACACCTTCATTTCAGGTAGTTGCAGAGAGCCATGAGGTCTCCCCTGAGCCTCCTCTTCTCCAGACCGAACCCCCCAGTTTCCTCAGCCGCTCCTCACAGGACTTGTGTTCCAGGCCCTTCACCAGCTTCGTAGCCCTGCTCTGGACATGCTCCACGGCCTTGATAACTTTCTTGTAGTGAGGGGCCAAAAATTTGTGCCATTAATGCCAATAAACTGTAAATACAGTGAGACTAGTTTGATGCTTTTGTTTGCCAGGTCTTGGAGCATGTTGCAAAAGGGGACTGCCTGCCCCTCTGTACAGGCAGCGTGAAGTCAGCCCTGGAATAGGGAGCTGGCTCATGGGCACCCAGCTCTCTTTCTGTAAGGCTTTCCTGGACAGTCTGTGAGTTACACCAACACTTAGCACACAGAGATGTTCCTTAATCCCATTTTCTCTTAGTTCTTGGTGTTTCTGGCTACTAGAGAAGTTAATTTGGCATCTTTGCTTTTTCTACTTCAATAGTATCACTTGCTTTGAATACATGCTGCCAATTCCATTGAAGGGAACCCATTGTGCCCATAAATTGAGCAAACTGATACAGTACTACAACATTTCCCATGATTTCTGGGGTGAAACACTACTATTTTTAGCCATGTTTTGGGATCTGTTAACCTATTCTGTAACAAGAACGAAATAAGCTACTGAGACCAATGCAAAAGAGCAGTTTGGCAGATGGTGTACGTGGGCTGACTGCCAGGATTAGAGCCCCCTACCCTTGCATGTGCACCTCTGCCTGAAGCAAGAGTGAAAAGCCAGAAGATGAGCATTCCTCTTGGAGGTGGGCAGCACATAAAGCAATGCCTACCATAACCTGTGATGACAGGTTTTCGGTCTAATTCAGAGAGACGGCAGAAACTTCATAGCTCACGTTCCCAAACTCATCTTTGATGTGTTGTTGACTCACTCACAGTGAGCAGCACTGCAGTTTTGTTCCTATGATCCAAGTGCCCGTACCCATGGGCTTTAACAGAATTCCTTTCTATTGCCCACTTAGTCAAGCTGCTCCTCAGACGCATATACCATCTCAGCTGCAGCTTCTTCTGCTGTGCAGGAGAGCAAGGGACGGTAGATGTAGCTCAGCAACTTTTTCTGCATAAGTATTGGGGCAGATGCAATTTTTAGGCTGTTTTCTATCTGTCATCTGTGATGACCCTGCAATGTTAGTGCCATCACAGAATGCCTCACTCTGCTTGCAGTGTCCTCTCCATGCTGCAGCCAAGAGCAGTGGACCATCCTGCTATGTGTGCTCAAGAGTATACGTCCCACCCCCTGAGGTGGATCTCTGGGGAAGTGCTTGTTAATCCTAAGCATTGTTTTCTGCTAGTGGCTGATTCTGGGATGTGCAGGTAACTTTCTGGGACTGGCTCTTGGTGCCAAGCATCTGAGCAGCAGTGACTGGGTAGTGAGGACCAGCCGGTGGGACCTGCAGCTGCCCAGCCCCATCCAGACCGCGGGGCATGTCTCCGCACAGAAGCCCCTTCCTACAGGGCAGCCAGATGGCAATCTTTGACTGGGGCTGGGCTGGGACTCAGGAGGGATTTGGTACTGCTATTAATGTTGCTGTTCTGACTAGGGAAAGGTTTACCTTACCAGGATGTGAGGCTCTGGCCTGGCAGTGGAGCATGGCCGTGAGGTTTCCCATGGCCAGTTCCTCCCTTTGGAATCTCCCCAAACTGGTGGGCTTGTGTAGCAGGCAATCCCTCCCGTCCAGATAACAATCAGCAGGAAATATCTTCAAGTGATTAAAAAATGTAAATAGGTTAATTATTGCCAAAAAGAGAAAAGAAGAATTAAAATGGCTTCTGTGGGTACATTTAAAATACAATCAATAATTTATGAGACAATTTTCATTCAACAATGAGGAATTAGGAGGCTCCAAACCTTCCCAACATTTTATCTGCAAGGGAAAATGTTTTAATTATTTATTTTCTTTCATGTGGCTCATGCCATGGGGCGCACCCTCACTGGCCAGCCCGTTGTGCTTGGGCACGTTTCTGCAGCAGCTCCCCATGCCCTGACCATGGGGTGCAGGGATGGGGGCTGGCAGAGGCATGGGTGCTGCTGCTGCTGTGGATGCAGGGCCAGGAGCATGCTGCTGGGCAGGGTCCTTGCGAGCTGCTGCGCTCCCCACCCTCACCTTGCCCTGGCTGGGGCTGCTGGGGCAGGAGGGTGCTTCTTCCAGGGTGCTGCATGGCTTTGGGATGCCAGTGCCAACAGAGCTGCAGGAGCCCAGCCCTGGGCCATAGTTAACACTAGTTAACTAGTATTTGCCCTACTCACTAGTATGCCTAGTGAATAAGGCAAAGCTGGAAATGAAAAGGAGTCAATGGAGCACATTGTCCACACCACAAAACAAACAATCAAACAAACAAACAAAAAACAACAACAACAAAAACCTGTGTACCATCAATAACAGAAGTGGCATATGAGCTGCTGGAAGAATCCTTCCTCGTCTGAGAAAACATGCCCGGTTTTACAGAAGAAAAACAAACATAGTGAACTGAACATAAATGGCATTATTAGCAGAAAGGGAGTCCTTAATTAACCAGATACAGTCCATTACTGTAGCCTTCAATTCATTAAATTACATAATTACATAAAAATACTGGTAATGTGCTATTTGGTATATCTGGTATTGTCTTCCTAATAATTAGCTCTGTAATTGTCAGTTTGACAGAGTAATTAAAAATGTTTAAAGATGTTGTGTCAGCCTTTTCTCCTTTGCTGAGCTCAGTCAGATCTCTCTGGAAGATGATTTTCTACCTGACTTGACCACGGTTTTGTTTTTGATTTATAATAATATGTTATGGGAATGACCAGACTCATGTATTACTTTGATGTTCCTGCTAGGCTGATTTTTAAAAGTAGGAGAAAAATGAATCCTGATGTCATTTTCATTTACTTTTAGGAAATCTGTGGCCCCATCCCCCAGCTCATGATATCTGTGATGTGATTTTCCTTTGAGCAGTTGAATGGAGGGAGCGTTGTGAAATCTGACATTTGTAGCCCTAAATCTCAGTTCTGTTTGCTGTGTAAAACCTTTCATCCTACATGCATTTTTTATGAATGGACTGAAAAACACAAGAAATAAAACACGTAGCTCCAATTGTCGCTGCATGTGGACCAGGGCTGCTCAGCCAGCACGGAGCAGGGCAGTTCCAGGGTGCACGATGCCTCTGTTTTCAGGGCACTTGTGCAGCGATGCTTCTGATGATGACGAGTGCCGATGTGCTGGCAATAAAATGCTGCCAGAAGCACAAGAACAGCAGGTCTGCACGCCACCGGAGGGGTGTGCAGGGCCTGGTGCCCTGGGCATGATGGTGGGAATCAGGATAGGAGCCTGGACATACTGGGGAGCCTGGGGTCAGCCTGCTCAAAGCTGGAGCAGCAGGACACAGCCTGGGACTGTGTGCGCCGGAACCCTGTGCTGGGAACGTGCTGTAAGGAGATGGTTTCTGGAGCCATTCTTCTCAGTTCTGTTGTTTTAGGGAGAGCAGTAATTGTAACGTTGCATGGTCAAAACTCTGACTGTTTTCCCTTTTCAACAAAATAAAACCAAATATTCATTACTGAGAAGAGATAAATAAATCTTTCCTCACACCCAGGAATTTTGCCAGCTGGGTTTTGGCTGGATGGGAGACTGTTTGTGAATGCTTTCAAAGATTTTTGAAAATATTCTGCTTTGAATCATTAAACAAACAAAGTGATCTGGTCTTCTGGAATAAACAGTAATCACACAGAAGTGAAGTCTGAACTTCTTTCTTGGCAATACAATTTTCAGCACTTCTCTCTCTTATTTTTATTTTTGCATTTGTCTATGCTTACTTTTATTTCTATTTTTGTTCCTGGAGTCTGTTTCTTACACCACATCTTTTCTGTTACAGCAGGCTCCATAAAGATCACACTTAACAAAGTACTTATAGCATGTTGCTTAGTCTCCTCCCCACAGTCCTTCCCCTCTTAGCCAGAAGCATGTCTCTGAGTCCAGATGGCCCAGTTCCACCACTCTCTAGCCATTAGTTTGTATTCAGTATTCATAATTGCTTCACTAACTGAGAAACTTTACAATCTGTTGCAGGCCATTATATGCAAAACCATGCCCAAATAATTGATCCCCTGCCATCCAAATTGCAGAAGTGCTTGAGCATTTTGTAATCTTACAGCAAAGGTTTGTATTCAGAGTGTTTTGAATGTATATTAAAATAAACTTGACAATGGGATACGAAGGCATAATTTTGGAGCAGCTTTGTCATTAAGTGCTCACACACCCATACCTGTGCAGTGGGGTAGTGTCCTGCTGGGAGTGTCATTTCTCTTTAATGCAATGTCTGGAGCTGAACTGATGCAATTTACTCCTGCGATATTCCACATTTGCCAGCCCCATCTCACCGCCACTGCAGCAAGCTCACCCATTCTCAACGGAGCCAGCAGAATACCTAATGCTCCTGCTGGAGACACAGGGCACCTGCAGCCTCCCTGTGGGGCAGCTTCCCAAATGGAGCCCATGAGCTCAAAATGCTCAGGGTGGGGCGTTTCCACCCACTCCCTAGCACCCCAAAGGGGAAGTCATTGCTGGCAGGCCCTGCGGTGCTGCAGCTGCTGGCCTCAGGAAGGAGAGGAGGCTGCAGCGCTGCTGAGGGCTGTTGCTGGACACCACGCCATGGCCACACAACGCCTGCTCCGGCTGTCCTCGGGGCGTGGGGGGGGAGGTGATGTGCACAGGGAGAGGGGCACAGGGGAGACAGGGTTCGGGTCAGGAGGTTTCAGATGATGCTGTTTTATTTATTCCAGGGGCTTCCTCGCCTAGGAGACAAAGAGGCCCTGGACAACTGCTGTGGCTGCATCCGAGCACCTCTCCTGAAGTGTGGCAGATCTACCTGTCCTCAACTCACAATGCAACAAGACAGGGGCTTTGTGGCCCTTTCCTATGACCATAGCCACCACCAAACAAGAAGTGAAATATTTTCTTTTGTGCTATTCGGTGTTGCCTAGATTGCTGCCTCTGGCTGAGTGGTGTCAGCACCTTTCAGCTGTTCAAAGTGCAGCAGCTGTGGGCACCGGGAGAAGAGCCCTGGTGGACACTGAAGCTGGCCACTCATGCAGGGTGGTTGGTGTGGGAACAGTGTCAGCACACCTTGCCCTTGCAGTTCTGATGCACTGATGCCTGTTTTCAGAACACCTTGTTTTTAATGTGATTCATGCTGAATGAATCCCTAGGACACGAAGGCAGGAAATGTGACATAAAGCTTTATAAAGGTTTCCAAACAGAGAACCTGCAAGGTCTTCTGTAGGATGATAGATCTCTCCTTAAGTCATAGGAGGAAAGGCTCCTACAAAGAGTAATAAATTCATACATTCCACTAGTCACCAGGGTTATTTCCCACAAAAGAATTTATTACATGGCATACATTTCCCTGCTCACAATAATGAGATCTGGGTTCTAACATGTGACGTTTATGACTAGAATTATGAAAAAAAAAAAAAGAAAAACGATATAGAATCTTTGAGAAAAATATGTGGGGCAAATCTCCAATTTGTATATATGGTATATTCACTCCCCTGAACAGCAGGGGCAGGGCTGGGTTTTAACCAGGGAGAAAGAAATATTTTTGCTAATGCTATTCTAGAAAAATGAACCGCATTGGGAGCACCCATCCTGGGCACCCTCCAGTTCTGCTGGAGGCACTGCCCCAGCCCAAGGTGGCACGGGGGGCACAGCCCAGTCCTGGCATGGTGGCCCTGTCAGGGGTGGCCATGGGAGCCCTCCTGATGGTGCCAGACCCTCCCAAGCTGTGGAGCTGGTGCTCCTCAGTGCAGCTGCTCACTGCGGAGTGCTCTGCTCACCTGCCTGGCCATGCAGCCAGCAGCAGAGGTAGCCCCAAGGAGCTCGCAGTGGAAATTCTGGCATGGCAGAGCAGTGCGCTTTGGGAAAGGTGCCAGGAGATGGGGAGGGAGAGGCAAGGATGACTATCTTTTAGCTGAAACCCCCACAGCTCCTGCACAGCATCCAGGATGCCACAGAACATCAATCCACTAGGAAATTCCAAGAAGAATGCATGGAAGGACCAAACGCTACCTTCTCTTCCCAACATATGCTTCTTTCTCCACCATCAGGAGGCCAGACAGAGCTTGCAGGAGCCATGGCCTGCTGCTCTAAGACAACCTGCCTGCACCCTGTAGGAGGTTTCCTGGGTTCAGCTGTGCCACCTGTCTACATGCAGGTGGGATGTGGAAATACCCAGTCCCCAGTGCTGTATGCCTTCTGAGCTGCTCTCAGATGTAGGGCTAGGATCATTTGAGAGTGGAGGCAGTTGCCTGCTTTCTCCATCCCTTTGTTTTGATCCCCAGAAACACAGAATCCCAGAGCCCCTGCAGAAACAGGACAGGAAGGCATGGCAGATCCCTGGCTTCTTCCAGGCCAACAGGATGGCTGACCTGGTCAGGAGGGATTTAAACCTCCAATGTGCTGAAACCATGGCCCATGAACCTCTGACACTGTGGGAAAAGCCCATTGTGCTTTGCACTCCAGAGCTCCCTGTGCATCTCCCTGACATCACATGGCAAGGACATTTGGAGCTGCTCTGCTGCCTAATGGGGTAGTTTGGATGTTACAGCCTAAAATTAAAGAGCTCATTAATTACTATGCTGAAAGCCAGGCTCTCTTTGAGCATGTTCTTTATCATGATTAATGAGGCAGCACAATCTCGTTCCCCCTTTATGTAATCTGTCCTGCCAAAGTGGAATCCACAGTCCTGCCTCCCCCTTGCCCTCTCCTCCCTGCTTGGCAGTAAAGGCACGAACAGAGGTTCAGGGCTAAGTATTGCCCAAAAGCCTGTGCTTCTCACACCTCCAGCGTTCGAGGTGTCGTCGCTTCTGCCAATACATTTTCTGAAAGGCATTTGCTTCCTGCAGTCTGCCTGGGAGGAGGAACAGGCTGAGATCTGGGCTCTAACAGCCCTGCAGTGTTGGTGGAACTTCCAGACAGAGCTCAGATGCTCTCTGGCTCCTGTGCTTGGCTGGGCTGGAGCAGGTCTCAGCCTACTAGTGCTGACCCATTTCCTTGGCTCTGCCTCATGTGTAACTCATGTGTAGCTCATGAGTAGCTTTCCCCGTGGGAATTGGTACTTGCTACCAGGGCATATGCACACAGTCACCTGTGCAGGAGAAATGTACCCACCTCACATCTCCTGGTGACTCTCCTATGCTCAGCAGAGACAGTTCTGGCATGGCTTGGGAGCACGGGGTATAACTGCAACCTGCCGTGGATCTGGAATTCCCTCCTGCTGTCATGTTGCCTGTTCCCGAGATTTCACAGTTTTGCTGAAAAGGAGGTGGCAGGAAGATGGGCATGCCTGTCTGCAGGATGGTCACTTACTACCTGGGAGTTTCCAGTTAGATTTGTCTGCAGAAAGAAAGCAAGGCATTACTGCACGGCAGGGCTTGTTATGCAGCTTAAACCTTGGATACTGTTTTTTCAATAAAATAGATGAAAACAATATCGGTGTCAGCAGCGTGCACAGCGCAGTGCAGCTGCAGGAGCCCAGGCTGGATTATGCAGATGTGCGTTGGAGAAACCAGCCTACCTTTGCGTTCTGTAATAAAACTTTACACTTGCTCAGTGTGTTTTAATTAACTCTCCCTGCCCCTCCTGCCTGTGGGAGGCATCCAATCCCTCTGCATGGTGCTGGCAGGCTCCTGGCTTTTTGCAGCCTGCAGCAGCTGCATCAACTGCTTTCAGAACTGAGTGAAAAACATCTGCCTTGGCCAGTCTCTGCCATTTAGCCTGTGCCTAGGATGATGCCTGGACAGCTGCTGGGCTGCCTCCACAGCAAGTGGTCCTGACAGCAGCAGGGGATGAATAGAGTATCCTCATCTGGGGAGCAGGGTGTGGGAGCTGCCCTTTGTGAACACGATGCCCAGCACTGTGTGAGAAAGGTTATGCAGGGAAAACCCAGTTTGTGAGAGAAGCTCAGCTTGAATGGTCTCCTGAAACAAAGGTTGAGAGGAGACATAGTAGCTCTCTAGAGGAATACGTGCCAGTGGCAGAGGTACTGTGTCATTGCATCTGAAGAACATAATTCTGAAACTGTCCAATATGAGCAGGAGGAAAACTTCAAGACCAGCGCTCTGCTAGTTACACATAAGCCTTGCAATAGCAGCACTAGGTCATGCCCATGTCTTCCTTCTAACCCAAGCTGTTGGGCTAAAGTTGTAAACCTAGGATATGCATTTTGACAGTGATTTCTGTTGCAGTAATAATGAGTGACCCAGACCCCTCCTTCAGTTCCAGGGATGAATTCAGCCTGGGTCTGTGTGTCACAGTGAACCTTTCTCCGAATACAACCAGCTTTCATTCCATCTTCTGTTGCCCTGAGTATAAAAGCTGTAACTCCAAGGCTGCACATGCTTTCCCTGTATTGTGCACCCGAGAATGTATGACTAGGATGTGCAGAGCTGTCCACCTGGTGAAAAGTCATTGGGCCATTGTTCATAGCCCACAGAGAGAAGGAAATTCTAAATGCAGATGACAGAAGCCCCATCTCATTAGGCAGTTGGAGCTGCTAGCTAAGGAAAGGCCTTGTGGGGCGGCAGTCCATGGAGGCTGTGGGGCATCGGCCATGAAACCTCTGTTCTGAGGGACATCATCCTACCATGCCTCTTCCCTGGTGAGGGGTTTTGAGGGTGTCTATGATCTCCAGCCTTGATGGAGTGGCAGAAAACTAACACAGTGAAAAACAAAACAAAACAAAACCAAACAAACAAAAACAGGTTCTGCGTGTGTTCAGTTACACCCACAGAATGCGCTGTCCCTGTCTGAAACAGCCAGATGCCAACTCAGGCTGCCCCATGTGCATCAGAGCTACATGCGGATCCCCAGCACGGCTCTGGCACAAGGCTCTAGCACCAGCTGGCCTGGGGGACATACTCTGCAAACACACAGCCTGTGATGCACCGCAGCGTGCTGCTGTGGGACAGGAGAGTTTGGGCTGGAGCTGAATCCTTCCCTGATGAATGCTGATCAGGAGATGGTCACTGGGTGACTCCAAGCACACAAAGCAGGTTCCTGCGCTTTGCTGGGCATGGCGTTTGGTGTGCATGCTCTGCCTCCTTGCACAGCTGAGCATGAGCAATAGAGAACACCTAGACCCCCTTTTGCTCAAGTGAAGGATGCAGCTCTCTGTATTGGGGCTGGGAAAGAGAAACAAGGCTAGATGAATTCAAGGTTACCCTGATGTGTCTGCTCTCTTCACTTTGTGCAAAAGGTCTGACCCCTCTTGATATGGTGTGTGCATGCAGTGAGGCCCTTTGAGCAATTCCATGGGACACTGGACATTGCCTGCATACATATTTGTCAAATGTGCCCTCTGTATTAATCTCTTAAATTTATGTACCTTGTTACACATGCCTTGGTAATGTCTGGAAAGAACTACGAATTATACAGTAAAGTTGTTTGCAGGATAAAAGTGTCAAATCATACAGGATTTATAAAATGCAGTGATGGAATCTGGTGTGATGAAGCCTCTCCAAGAGCATTTTGAGTAGTAGAGGTAATACCTCCCAGGAGAGCATCACATGTTCCACTTGCATTTCAGAAGAGATATGTGCTTGGGTGTTAATCCTCTGATGAGAAGGCTGTCAATAATTGATACTTCATGTATAGCTTTTGTACAAAGCTAAAGGTCTTCTTGGAGGCCTTGAGATTAGCAGAACGATTGAATAATTGATATTATGTGTTTTATATGATTTTGAAAAATTCACAATGTATGTTTTCTGGGGAGGAGTCCAATTAAGATTGCAATTCAGCCAGCCCACCTCCCTCCTTGCTTCTCCGCCTCCTAAATCTGGGAGGTGGGCAGGTACAGAAGGAACATGCAAATCATTTGCATTGCAAGAAAGAGTGAACTTAATGACAACATTTCATTTGCATTTTTACTGAGCAGAATGGAACTAGAGAGAAACGAGGTAAACGTCCCCTCCAAAGCCTAAGGACATCTTTACTTTCATATGTCTTCCAGGAAACTTAAGCTATAGGACAATCTGTTTTCCTGTGCCAGGGGAGAGGGGTGCCTGGGAAGAGGTCTCCTTACACATTGCCAGGGCTGTGTGATTTGCTACGCTCCGGACCAGGCTGTGTGCAGCCAGTGCCTTGAAGATGGGATCACCAGCTGAACCAGGGTGTACCCCTATGGCAGCGTTTATGCCCCCACTTCAAAGAGAGAGGTCTGCTTCAGCTGGCACCTGCGCCAGCCTCGGCAGCACTGGGCATGCTGGAGGGAGCCAAGAGATTAGCTGGCAGCAGCCGAAGTGTACCATACTGACAATGTACTTGGCTGTTCCTTCTTTGTGTGCTTCTGATTCCAGTATCAATTGCTTGATCTTTTAACTCAGCTCAACAAACAAGTCACGTGTGATTTGCTCTTCACTCTTGCCTTGTGGCGTGCATGGTCCCTCTGTGAGTGCAGGTGTTGGAGGTGGCACTGCACAGGATGGGTGGGCCAGAGGGCAAGGGCTGCCTGTGCCCACACAGCCCCTTTGCAGGGGGCCAGAGGTGGCTGCTGCAGCCGGGGACAGTGCCACCAGGGCAGGGGAAGGTGGGCAGCCCTGAGGTGACCAGGGCCAGAGTCCATGGCGCACCAGCACCTGCAGCTTGGCCCAGAAGGTGGTACTGGGAGCCAGCAGCCTGCCTGCCACCACATGCAGCCTTGTGTGCTGCGGAGCTGTGCAGCTGCAGAGCCTTTTGGAGAGGGGGAAGCCCTGAGCGCTGTTACTATAGTTACTGCAGGACTAAGGGTAACAGTCAGAGATTTTAAAAAATTGATTGTTCTAGCAACAGCTCATCCTTGTTTGGCAACATCAAGCACATGATGTCAGCTTGTTGAGCTGGGGCCTCTGAAAATGCCTCGTCCAAGAAGTGTCTGGTATACAGGGAGAGCGTAGCTCCTTACAGATGCAGCAAGAGCTGTGAGCTGCGCTCTGTGGAGGGGGTACCGGAGAGTGCTCTTAAGGCTGGGCTGGTGGGTGTGCTTTGCTGTGTGTGCTGCAGCTCTGAGGATGGTGCAGACACAGTTGCTGTTGCTGGCTGGTGCATGAGGAAAAGGCGTTTCTTTGATCTGGCTGTTAATGGGTCACCAGTACTGAGTCTGCAAGGGTGCTCTGGTGGCTCCCATGGCTTTGCAAGGCAGGCGCCTCAAAGCCTTTACAAGCCACGGGGCCCGTTGTGTCCCCGCCTGGGGATGCCGGAGTGGTGTCTCTCAGGAGCTGGCCTGCAGCTGCCAGGAGCGGCTGAGCCTGGCCGGGAGCAGAGGAGCGCAGCGCGGTGCCCACGGCGAGCAGGGAGCTGGGCTGTGGTGCTGTGCGCCGCCCGGCTGGAAGAGACTTCCACCAGAACACTCCTGTTGCAGCCACAAATAATTTAGCAACACAGGGGATGCTGAAGAGCACTTCAGAACTGTTTCTAGAGCAGGAAAAGCCTGGCTGAAAGAACAACAAATATTGGATGTGTTTTTTGTAGAGAAAATGGCTGCTACAGTGTCAAGACATTGTGTAAAAAGTGTTTTCATTACTTGTAAATTAGCCCAAGGGCTTGTCCTCCTCCTGTACTTCCTGCAGAGCTCCAGGGTGGTTTTATTCACAACACTGAGCGCTGTTGCTAGGAGTCAAAGAAAAGCATAAGTATTTGTGGTTTTCCTTTTCCAGACACCAAAACAGAAAGCTGGCCACGTAGGCTGCATTCTGTGTAGATTCCACCTGGAGACAGTTTTCACTGGGCTGTTTCAGAGCTTTGGGCCTGGAATGAAAAAAAGAAATCTTTTTTCAGCTTCCCTTCTCTCTATGGCTGTCCACCCATCCTATACAGAGGGCATCGTTCCCAAGTGAAAGAAAAGCAGCATCAGACAAAAAAAAAAAAAAAAAAAAAAAACAAACTGGGGGGGGGACCATCAGGATGAAGAGGGCTCTGAGTAACCTCAGAAGGTAACGTGCCACAGACAAGCTTTGTCAGAAGTGCAGGGGTGAAAGTGGAGGTGTCCTTTGCTACCTGGCAAACCCTGCCAGAGCTGAAGCATGGGCAGTACACATCCATATGGAGCAAGCACCTCCCCTGAGCTTGGGTGAGAGCAGCTCTCAGGCTTCACCTGCCTTGTGCCTGTCCTGCAGGCTTCAGCTGGGGGGGGGGGGAGGGGGGTCTTTTCCCAATTACCAACCTCATTGTTATTGCTCCCACTCCCCCATCCCTCCTCATCAGGGTAATTAACTGCCCGTTGCCTTTAGATTTGTGCTCCCTCCCCACCCTCTCTTTCTCCCGAGGAAGAGAAGAGATAAAAGGGAGGGCAGGGGCACTTCCACCATACTGGTGGTCTGCAGGTGCACGTGCAGGGTGCAGAGCCTGGGCCCAGTATGGTGACGGACCAGCCACTGCTTGTGTCAGACGGTGAGTTGCACAGAGCCCTGGAGAAAATAAATGTTTTGATCATTTGCATTTCATGTGTGAGGAGGTTAATTATGATGATGGCAAAGACAGTCACTGGCATGATAATTTGATTAGAAGGGAACTTCAGTTCTCAGAGATCTAGCTGGGGGCAACATCTCTCTGAAGCAGCAGGGCTGCAGCAGTCTATGGAGGGAGGACTGGGGAGAGCTTTGGTATGATTTCATGCACCAGTTGGAATATCTTTATCTGGGTCGCTGCCTGTACTTACAAGTCCCTGACTGTGAGTGGGATTGATAAGATCTTGAGGCATTTGTGTCTGTGCAGCGAGGAATTAGGAAAGGTACATTAACAAAGTTATTTAATTCCTATGCACTTGTGCCAAGAGCATGGGTTATAAACAAGAAGATTCAGAACTGCTCATTTCTGAGAGCCAACTTGAACTATTTTTTATAGCTGAGGCCTGCTAGGAAGGTCTAAACAATGGGGAAGCTAACACTGGAAAAACTATAAACAGAAAAGTGACAGGTTATATGTCTCTGTGAAAGACTAGAGAAACAAATGTGGTGGAGAGTTGGTCTACATTAAAGTGCCATTTCTGCTGCTGGTAACTCAGAAGAAAGCGATCTTAGGTACATAAATATGGATGTCCTGGTATGCAAAGCAGGATGGGGGGTGGTAATGGGTGTTTGTTGTGAAAAACAGATTGTGCAATAGGAGGATCACCTCTGCAGATCTACAGAATGAGGAAGGAAAGGTCAGGTTTGCATGGGATGGCATTTGTTGAATGTCCTATACTACCATGATTAAAACAGCCTTTTAATTTCCAAAAACCATGGAGGATTGTTTCCCAACTCAGGAGTTGTGACCAGCACAGGAATACTTCATTAGCCTGCATTTTGACAAAGGGGACTGGTCGCAGAACTAAACCTTCGTGGTAGCTTACATGCAAGGGATTGTGACTTAGCTATGTCTGTTGCGTGTGACTGTAATAAAATCCTATTCAGTAACATGGATGTACACTTGGTGTTTTAAAATAGCTTCACAGTGTTGAAAATAATTTAGGCATGCAGTTTGGGAACAAGGATTTCAGGAGGAAGATGTAAATGAGTGAAAGAAAACAACTGAGAATACTGAATGAAAATGAGAAGCCATGTCTTATGGGGTGATAATAAATGTCTTATGGGATGTTGTTAAAGGGCAGAGAAAACCTCACTGGAAACTGGTGACCCTGTAAAGGAGGAAGGCGTGCTCTCAGCCAGGCTGGAAGGGCCAAGTCCAAGAAGGGCAACAACTGTTTAAGCATTGATCTTACTCTCTGGAAGGCAGGCAGAGAGTGACTGCTCTTGTGACCAACTGTGGTCACATGCACTAAATAAATTGCACCCCTGGCCTTGTCTTCTGGGTTAGGACACACCTTAATCCAGGACTGCCCAGTCTCAGTACTATAAAGCAAGTTCTATAAAGCAACCTGTGGAGAGCTGGGTTTGGTGCTTAGAGGGTATCTTCACAGCTGCTACTTCCCAGGGGCCAGTCCAGCACCTTCCCCTTGTTTCTGCCAGCTGCAGTTGCTGACACTCTTTTGATGGTCATCTTATACGTCTTTGCCAATATTTGCATATTCTGCCTCTTACTAGTGTTTGTCCATGCTTACCTTGGTTACCTTTGAGACGGAGGCATGGTATGAGACTGTGGCATTGTTCTATGAATCTGTTATTTCTCTATATGCTTCTGCTTTGGCAGGTGTGAGTCTTAACGGGGCAGTTAAACAGATTTGCTGCTGGTTAGAAACTTGCGTAGTTTTTTTGTATGCTTTTCTTCCTCTGTACATAAATGCACAGGCATCTGAGTCAACCAGTGCTGTCCTGTTCCAGCTGCACAGATTGCTTTATTACTACTTAACAAACTTCCTCTCCTTTTGTCTCTCATATGCAGCTCTTCCTCCTGCAGCAGTTTATGGGCTTGTCAGTTCCGGAAATATTTGGAATCTTCTCCACTCCTAGACACTTCCTGGCTGCTCCTCATTCTCTCTGCCCAGGTTTCTAAGTGTTTACACCTATGATATGTTAAACTTTTGAACCCTACAAGTGCAGCCACTTTTTAAAGGGTTCATTTATCTTCTAAATGCCAGGGGACAGAGTGGTTGGTCCTTTCTGACTGCTTCTCTCTGTAACATAGCAGTTAATTTGCTGACCTGCGGTACCATCATGCCCAGATGTTGTGGCCATGGTCTTGTGCATGGTGTATAACAGACATGGAGCATGAACACAGCCTGCACCCCAGAAAACTGACAGGAGAACATTATTCCTCAAATTGAGCTGCTGGCCTTTAACATGGGCCTGGCTAGAGACCTCTGATAGATCAGCAAGGATCACTTTACATTGACAAATACTCAATATGGTGCCTTACTTACAGGGCTTTTCTCAAAACTAAATAACTTTCAGAATTCTCCTCCTTTATAATTCCCTGCATTCCATTCTCTTTTTGTTTGACTTGTATTGTTCAAGCTCCGATTCAATTCTACTATTGTGCAAATCAGGTGGCTGGATATTCTTGGCCACTGATTCATGGCTGGTACCACAATGCCCTCTGACATGTAAAATGCTCCTCTGTGTGAGCCACGATCTTGCTAACCTCGCATGCAATGCCTGCAGATCAGAATATGAACAGAGGCACTGAGTGACACTTACAGCTATTCCTTCAACACCATGATAGCTCCTGTGGTGGCATTTAAGCTGTTCTTAGTTTCAATATTATTCCTACCCACATGTACAACTTCTTAGAGCTGACAAATTGCAATGTATTCATAGCTTTCTGCCTTTTTCCTGGAGCTAAGGCTGGAGATCAGATTTGGAGAGCTTTAATTCCATCCAGAAAGCCCACAACTATGGAGGAGGCACCCAGGTGCAGGGCTGTCCATGACTGCTTGCTCTGCGGCTGTTGGGGTGCCCTGCAGAGGGCTTTCCTTCAAGTCTGCCTTGAGGCCAGTCCCCTCCCCTCTCCCTGGAGAGGAGCTATTATGTCCCATGCTGAGCGGCACCTCCCCAAGCACTGGAAATGCTCCAAAACATTAACAAGCCACCCAAAATCTTGGCATGGGGGTCTGCGGGTGCAGTGGAATGTGGAGTGGAGGTGTAAGTGGCAGTGAAGTGTGTGAAGGTGCCTGCAATCCAGCTGTGCAGGCTGCCTGGCAGTGCCAGGGCCCTCGTATGTTCAGCGTCAGGTGGCACAGCTAGTCAGTGCTGCCTTCTGTGCCAGGATGCTCAGCAAGTACCTTAGCCTGGGGGGGGGGAGTGGTGGTGAGGGGCCCCCTCTGCTGTGCAGTGTGAAGGGGATGGGTGAGCCAGCAGCAGCCTGAAGCTTCTGCTTCACTTCCTTGGCTAGTTATGTAGCATGCAGAGCTCTGTTTCCTTGTGGGTAGGTGGGCCTTGGAGAATCCCAGCCTGGTGGATTGGAGGAAAAAGGGTGTCTGGTGCTGTAGGGCAGGTTGCATTCTTCCCACCCACAGAGTTCTGCCCTTTGCTGGGCTATGGCTGGGGACTCGGCACAGCACAGGTTCTGTGGGCAGGAGCATCCTGCTGGGAGTGGATGGGGAGCAGAAACTGGGCTGCATTGCCGGACAGATGGTGCACAGGGATGTCTGCTCGTGGGTGCTTCTGAGAGGCTGGGGATGGTCCTTCAGAAAGGCTTCTCTTCCCTGTGGGGCTGGTCTTGTATGTCACCCTGCTGCTCACCTGAGCAGAGGAGCTTATGAAGTGGTGGGTTCCTTCTGTGAGTCGTAGAGAGTGATGTCTGGAGGATTTTGCATTTGTGTTGTCATTAGGACTTACATGGGGGGAAAATGTGTGACTGTAACTGGGAGGTGAAAGCTAACAGCTTGTCGCGGCTATTATTATACATGCCAGAAGCAGTAATGATTAAAGGGACTGCACTGTGAGGTAAAGAGATGCCATCCTGGAACCAGATGACTGGGTGATACAATTAAGATAAAGAAATCACATATTGTTGGAAATAGGGAAGCAGAAGTGATGAAATGTGTGATTGGGAAGTGTGGGAACAAGATGAAATTAAAGAAAAATTGCAATAAGGAGCAGAAAATGAGCAGGACTTGGAACAAGAGATGCAGTTCTTGAGAAGATAAGAAGAGCAGAAATAAATTGAGAGCAAACATCCTTGGCATAGAAGGAGAGACATACAAAAAAAAATCTTTCCAAACTCTATTAAAAATGAGTTGCTGTGCTAAAGTGAGAGCATTACAATCCAAAAGAAATGACAATATTAAACCATCAGTCTCTACAGTCATGTGCTCAAGGAAGGACAGGGCAGATGCTCACAAGTTTGAGCTATGCTGGTGTTTTTTTTGTTTTTTTTTGGCAGAAACCAAAACCTGTGTAATTACTGTGTGTCTTGGAAATGGAGCACTTAAGATTTGTAAACAGGGATACAGTAGTGACTTACCCTCCAGTTAGGGCTCCGTGACCACAAATAAAGCAAACAAATGCTTCCCAGGAATAGCTGTTCCCAAACAAAAGCTTTCAGTGGAAATGAGCAAGGAACTGGTAGCACCCAAAAGGTGATCAAGACCACAAATACCGGGGTGGCACAGCTGGGTGGCATTTGGTCATCAAGGTGTGTGTGATGGGGATACCAGTGAGATGAGGAACAGCCTCAGGGCAGGGTTCTATGAGGCATTGCTAGGCTTTGCTGGAGAAATTAATGGTTGCTGATGGAGCGATGCTGG